AACGGGGCTTCTGGGACCAGCTGCTGCACAAATTGAAGAGGCCTAGAGGCGCACGCTGCAGGTTCTGCCGCAGCAGGAGCACAACACGCACCTGGTGACTGAGGTGGTGTCGCAGACCTCTGACACGGAAGCAAAGTGACAGAACTATTAGATCATAAGGACAGCTTGGTTGGGGGGATGGTCACCTTCCCACAGCAACAGTATGCCTCCTTCCCTCACCCCAAAATGTGCTGTAGCTCAGCTGGAGCTGACGAATGTGATGTAGCTGTTCTGAATCCAGCTGCTTAAGGCAGTTACACAAGACACTGAACAGTCCTGCACCCGCCCACGCTATGAAGCTGAGCACCTGCAAGTGAGAAGAGGGGAGCACGAGTGCGGTGGAAAGCCTGATGGTCCACTTACCACAGTGAGGTGGCCGTTCTTGGCTTTTGCTATAAGCAGCTCAGAGCCTGACGTGAAGTCTATTATGCCTTCTTTACCTTGTCCCACTGTAAATTTTATGCTGGCAGCAAAGAAACGAGATTTAGCAGTTCCTGCATGTGCTGGTCCCTGTCATTAGTCTCTATGAATCATAGTGCTTGGCTGGTCTGTGTGGGGTTGGGGGGTCAGGTCAGGTCACAAAGCCCCTGAACACACAGACCACAGACTCCTGGCAAGCATAACATGTTCTTTCTCCCTGTTGGTCACAAAACCGACGGATGCTCAAGCCACGCTGCAGACAGGCAGAGCCAGGGCTGATGTCCAGCATGGGCATGTGCTCTGTGCCCACACAGGACACTGAGCAGAGCTGTTGCCGCACGTGACCCAAGCCAGGGGGCTGTCAGCTTGGCTTTGCCACAGTAGTCTACTCCAGGCCTTTGGGCAGTTAGCCACCATCAACATGCCTGTCAAAACCTTATCAATAGAGGCAGCTGTACTGCTTTTTTTAACTTTATTTCTTCTATACTGAGTTGGATACAGATCTTTCCTTATTCCCCCACTGCCTCCCAAAACCCCCCCAGATGCTCCTACCTGCCGGTTTTCCCCCTCTCCACTGCCCATCATTGCATCTCGCCTCCCAAATGACTGGGGGGAGCGGGGGGAAGGTAGGGAGGGGATCTTGCAGCAGTGTATACTTGAACTGCTGGGGTGGAAACTTGGCGGGGGGAAGAGGCAATGCTAGGTTGAATTTTACAGTACATGCTGACTTCCAGCTAAGAAAAAAGGCACCTCTGGTATTCAGGTTTTGGTTTCCTTACAGTCCCAGCTGCTTATCTGCATACAGTGAAGTGCTGAGGCTTTTGCTTTCTGTGATGTGCTAATGTGCGCGCGCACACACACACACACACACACACACACACACACACACACACACACACACACTAAATAGGCATCCCCTCCCTCTTTTTTCTGATGAACACACACGTGTGACCCCCCACCCCCAAACTGTTACAGGCATCTAGTCTGTGTTGGCATAGGTATACAATTCAAATGCAAACAGTTTAACAGGACTAATATGGAGGATGTGTGTTTAATAAGTGGCCTTGTACCTGGGATCGTTTGACTCTAAATTAACAATGTTTGAGAGAGGCAGGACGTTGGCTGCCATGGTTCCCCTACTTGACCTGTGACAGGTTTGGGTGTTGTGTCGGGGTTGACGGTAGTCTTACCAAAAATGATTTTAGATTATGGATTTGTGTAGGCTGATCTTGCTATGGATGATCCTGCCTCTGGCAAGGGGTGGGAGTAGGGGAGCCTTCTAGCCCTGCTTCTCTATGCTTCTATGATACTACAAATACATTGGGGGGGTTGCATGTGTGTGTGTGTGGGTATGTAAAACCATGCAAATAAGTAGTGTATGAGCCAATGGAAATACCAGTGTGTGTAACAAGACTTGGGTGTGCATTTCCACAAAGAGACACAGCCCCATGTGTGTGACAAAGGAACAGCAGTGCAAATACACACAATTACTGTCTTTGTATTGCATTGTTCGATACACTGCCCCCCCCCGTTGTATTTGCATTGTTAAACCCATATCATTTATTTGACTCGTTGCACTGTATGGTTAATGGTGCAAATACACTGGGGGTGAGGGTTAGGGTACTGTGTATGTGTAACAACGCAAATACATACTGTATATGTCATAAAGCAAATACATTGTGTGTGTGTACTTAACTATGCAAATACAATGACTGTGTACATGTATTTGTGTGTACACACACACACAATATTGAATTGTTAAAGGCACACACGCCTGTAATTTAGCTGTATTGTTAAACACGCGATGGGCATGTTTAACAATGCAAATGCAATGATCATATGTTTGCATAACCACACACCCCCACACAATGTATTTACATTAAAACACACCAAATAACTGTTGTTACACGAGCAAACCAATTTGCATTGTTAAACCCAGACACAACAGTGTACCTCTCCATTCTCCAGTACATTCAGTTGTTAAACATGCATACAACCCCAATGCATTTGCACTGTGTATGCACTAAACACACTGAGCTGTATCTCTGTGATTGTGTATTTTTATCATTGAAAATCATTTTGTCTGTTAACTGCCGTGGCTACATGAGATGATGTCACAGGTATCAAGTACCTGTAAGCAACACACACCAATCACTTCGTTAAGATGAGGTTGGTGAGGATGTCAGCACTTTGGAAGCTACTGCGGGTGATGGAAGCAGCGACAGAAGCCCCACCGAGCAGTGATTTACTGGGAAGGGAAAAGGTCACTAAAGGACAAAGCCTGCAGTGAAGGGAAGGGCTCAGGCACCAGCACCAAGTCAGAGTTTGTGCTCAGTTTCTTCTTCCTTTACTCACCTCCCTTGATTAATGTTGACATTATCGACTTTGTCAGCACTCATGGCCATTTTGGTTAGTGTTTCAATTGCATGATCACTTTGTAGTACAACGTCCCCCTGAAAAAGCCACACATGGTCTTCACTCTCACAAAATGCATTTCACCAGCATTATTTTCAAAGTCCATGAAGGTAAGAGGGAAAAAGCTGCTATTGGTGCAAGTTAGGCAAGAGATGCCTATCACAGTACAAATTCCACAACTGCAGACAATGGCCTCATTGCTGACACCTTTGTAGGTGCTTGAGGACTAGGTGCAGAGTCAAAAGGGTGGCTGGAACAACCCTCAGGGAATCTGCCCTGTAGCACACCATGTGGGATTAACAGGTGAGAAGAAACACTGCTCAGAGACTTCACTGATCAAACCAAGTGAGAAATGGGGAGCTTCAGCTCTCCTCTTAGCACTCAGGCTAGGGCTGATTTCCTAGCTCAAGTAGCAGGCTTTTTGTCAGGCATGCCACAGATTAGCCCCGTGCTCTCCCCCAAGTGCCACTCCAATCGCCGGCCCCTGCCCACCTGACTGCTGCTTTCTGCCCCCTGCCCTAGCTGTCAGTGCTGCCTGCTTCCTCCCTATCCTGCTGTGTGCCGCAAGTTGGTCACCTCTGTCCTAGCTCTTTGAGATACTCTCCTCTTCTCCCCACCTTGCTGGACTTTCATTTTTTTCATGAAACTTAGACTTGCACCTTACTGGAAAAGTCAAGCATGAACAGCAGAGAAGAGCATGTGCTACCTTCTGTTTGTTATCTTCACAGTGCACGTGGAGCACGAACAGGTTGTCACTCAGGCTGCTGACAGAGATGCCTGCAAAACAGAGAGGCCATTTGACTCCAGCATAGTGTGTAGCCCCATGGTGCTCAGCCTTTCAGAGTGGTTCCCCAGCGGGCTGCACCTTGGGCCACTCCCAATGGGGAGGGGAGGGGAGGGTGGAGAAAGAGATGGCTGCCAATGTGGAAGGCAGGGAGAGAGCAAGAGAGCTTACACCTGCCACACAGTAAGGTGCTCCCATACAGTGTCATACTCCCAGAAAAAAGCACCTCATCCATGGCTTCAGGGTGTTTATAGCTTAATTTGTCCCTTGACCCACTCCTGCCTTTCATTAAAGTGCAGGCACTCCAGTGAGCAACTCTCAGGGACCCAGGATAGCTCTCAAACTCCTCCTGGTGCCTGGAGGGGCTGAGCAGCCAGGAGCTGCTGCCTGGGAGGGGAGGGGGCTGTGGCCAGGCTCCCGCTGGGCACTGCAGCCCCATCCCAGGGTGGGGGCACAGGTCTCCCCTCCGCTCCCCTCGGCCTGCACCGGGGCCGGACACACCCCACCACTGCCTGCGTGAATCAGAGCCGCCATGCTCTGGCCCTGGCAGGATGGGCACAGCCAGGGTCTCCGGCCGGGCTGGGGGGCAA